AATAAATACATTGGGTCCTTATTGGACTATAGAAGAATTATTAGACAAAGTATTGCAAATACCAACAGGAGAGAATGCATTTTTAGTCAATGCTATTCAGGATTTTACTAAAGGGCTTAAAGAACAGACTCAGGACTTAGTTAAGGAGCTTAAAGAACAAGCTCAAAATTCCCAAATTCAAGTGTTAGCAGCTCTTGCACCCCTCCAGGGAAAGGCTAATAACTCCACAGATGGAAAAACTCGATCAAAGTGTTATCGATGCGGAGCTACTGGACACTTCAGAAGGGAGTGCCGAGCAACAGGAATTTGTGGTTGTGGCAACCTGCCACAACCACAGCCTCAGCCAATGCTTTCGGATTACAACCTGCCACAGCCGGTAGCCTCGGATTGGATCTGGCCACGACACTAGAAGTCACTTTGCTATCCACCCAACCTCAAAAGATTCCTACTGGTATTTACGGGCCTTTGGTAATAAATAAACAAGCATTTGGGGCACTGTTGATTGGCAGATCGTCGGCTAGCCTTGCTGGATTATTTGTGCTGCCTGGATTAATTGATGCTGACTATTCTGGACAGATAATGGTTATGGCATATACTATTTTTCCACCTTTAAGGATTCCTAAAGGACAACGTATTGCTCAATTAATACCCCTGCCACAGTTAGCAAAACCTTTAACCAACGACCGACAACTGATGCAACGTGGAGATCGTGGATTTGGTTCTACAAGGGGACTTACCTTACTGACACTGGATTTAAGTGAGAGGCCAAAACATAAAGTCACAATTATATGGAAAGATCAAACAAAAACACTGGATGCTTTACTAGATTCAGGAGCTGATTCCAGTATAATAGCTCCTCATTGTTGGCCTAGACACTGGCCTCTGCAACCTGCTACTACAACTGTGACTGGCATTGGGGGTGCCTCAATTGCTATGCGGACTCCTACTGTGAACATCGAGGTGGAAGGTCGTGTGGCCAGTGCTGTCCTGTCTGTTGTGCAGCTTCCACCAACAGTACAATGCTTAATCGGGAGAGATGTTTTGACACAAATTGGGATGAAACTCTCCAATGATCACCCTTTGGGGGAATAGCCATTGCTTGGTCTTTCCCAATTCCTATTACTTGGATTGTTGATACTCCAGTATGGGTTAAGCAATGGCCTTTAAAACGGGAAAGCTTGGAAGCTGCTCATGAATTAGTACAAGAACAAATTGATCAAGGACACTTAAAACTTTCTACTAGTCCCTGGAATACACCTATATTTGTAATAAAGAAAAAGTCTGGAAAATATCGATTATTGCATGATCTAAGAGCAGTTAACTCACAAATGGAAGCCATGGGGGCTTTACAGCCTGGACTACCAAATCCTGCAATGCTTCCCATGGATTGGCCCTTACTGATTGTAGACTTAAAAGATTGTTTCTTCACAATTCAATTGCACCCTCGGGATACTAAACGTTTTGCTTTTACATTACCTGCTATTAACAGAGAAAGACCTGACCAACGATTTGAATGGACAGTATTACCACAAGGGATGAGGAACAGTCCAACTTTGTGTCAGCTATATGTGGATAATGCATTACAAGCCCTACGACGCAGATGGCCAGATTGTATAATTTATCACTACGTAGATGATATATTGTTTTGCCAGCCTGAAGAGTTTGTACCCGAACAAATACAAATAATTCGCAGACATTTGGAACAATATAAGTTAATAATAGCAGATGAAAAAATTCAAACGACAGAACCATGGAGATATTTGGGGTGGACTATCTCTCGACATGCTGTTATCCCACAGAAATTGGTATTTCAATCAAAATTGCGCACTGTGAATGATGCACAAAGACTTCTTGGGGATTTACAGTGGTTACGCCCTGTTGTGGGAATCCCTGCTGACCTTTTAGCTGAATTGCGACCCCTATTAAAAGGAACAGACCCAACAACCAAAATTACTGTCACAAAGCACCAACAACTCATACTCCAACAAATTTTAGATTGTGTCACTCAGGGCCGTGTTCGGAGAAGACAATGGGAATTACCTTTAGAACTTACCTTTTGGGCTGACAAACAATACATTTTAGGTGCTATTACACAATCACAAACAGAAAAGGGGGAGGATATAGGGGTTTTAGAATGGTTATCAACTAGCATACAACAACCTAAAACACTTTTACAAAAAATTGAAATGTTGGCAGCCCTGATAAAAAAGGGTCGAGAGCGTGTGTTACAAATTGATGCTCAAGAGCCTGCACGTATACGATTACCAATGCAGAAAAATGATCTTGATTGGTACCTATGTACTAATGAGGGTCTTCAAGAAGCATTATTAGGACTGACATGTCCCATAATTACCAGTAGACTGCACAATGTCCCTACAGCAAATTTCTTTGCATCCATATTTGCCCCCTTTGGAACAAAAAAGAGCCTGGTTCTTGTCCAAAGAACAGCTTGTTGGGCAAGAAATCAAATGAATAGAACTTCGAAAATTCTGGGAGAATTGGCTCATGACTCTGATGAAATGAGGCATGCTGTTTTACAAAACAGAGCAGCCATAGATTTTCTATTGCTGGCTCAGGGGCATGGATGTGAAGAATTTGAAGGCATGTGTTGTATGAATCTCTCTGATCACTCTCAGTCCATCTACCAGAAACTCAGAGAAATGCAAAGTCACCTGAATGACTTTGAAGTTCAAAAAGATCCCATTAGGGGATGGCTAGCAAAATTAGGTTTAGGACCATGGCTTGCGGAGATCACTAAACAAGCAATTTCGCTTTTACTAATACTGCTGGCTGCTTTATGCATTGTTCCTTGTGCTTTTAAATGCATTCAAAGCATGCTAACAAAGGCAATGAGTGACGTGTTTTTAACATTGTCTAAACAGAGCGGGGGAAGTGTGGAAGATATTACAGAAACCTGGTTGGTAGAGAGAGGACACATTAAAGATTCTATACCGCTGGTCTCACACTAAAGCAAGAAAACTATTAGAAGGCACGGAGATGGGAACACACACATGGAGATGGGAACACACCCATGGAGATGGGAACACACCCATGGAGTTGGGAACACACACAGAGAGATGGGAACACACACATGGAGATGGGAACACACATGGAGATGGGAACACACACATGGAGATGGGAACACACACATGAAGTTGGGAACACACACACAAGATCAAGCAGAGTAGCTTTGCTGAAGGGATTTATTGATCATTCTGGGGAAATGCCCCTGGGCTCTGAGGGAAATCAGGAGGTTCTTCCAGGGATGATCATCTCCTCATGCCACTGGAGGGGGACAGGGCACGGGTGTCACCACCAGGCCTGAAAGACAGAGCCCCAAACGTCACCCCCAAAGTCCACTGCAACATGAGAGGGGCCTTGTCCTGACCCCTCTCCCTGCAGGCACTGCTCACCTCAGCCACCCAGGGATGCAGCCACATCTCACCAACAGGACCCACCACCTTCTCAACCACAGGGGGCTGGGGACAAAGACAGGCTCAGAGACACACTGGGTGCAGTGGGATGTATTGGGAGTCTGGGGGAAGAAATGGGATCCTTGGGGAAGGTGCACTGGGGTATACTGGGGCAGACTGGGATGGCCAGAAGTGTCATGGCCATGTGAGGGGAGGACCCGACTCAGGCAGAACTCCTGGTACCCACCTGAGCCATCTTCAGGATCCCAACGTCCACTAAATGCAGCTGGAGAGAGACCAGGAGCCCTGGCTGGTCACTGGGATGTCCCCGGTGCCAGGTGAGGGATGGGGGGACCAAAGTGTCCCCCAGTTCCCAGACTGGATGCCCTCCAGTCCCCCCGGCCCACTCACATCCCACAGATCATTTTGGGTTCCTGCCAAGAGTGCCTGGGCAAGGAGAGCAAAGGTTTAAGCAGGATTGGCCCCTGTGGGGCTGGGGGAGGGACACGGGGGTCCCCAGACCCCCCAGCCCAGGGCTGCCCCCGTCTGAGGGGGAAAATCCCTTCTGCTCCCCCTGCTCCCACTGCCCCCAGTTTCACCTCCAACCCCTGTGCCTGCAGGGCCCAGGGTGGGGATGGAGACAAGGAGAGCCAGGGGAATTCAGGGCCTGCAGGGAGGGGGGGAGGAGGTTGGGGGGGACCCAAAGATGCTGAACTGGGGGGAACTGGGGAGCCCACGGGACTGGGATTGGGGTGTTGAAGGGGCCCTGTGTGGGATGCAGGGGAGGGGAAAGGAATTCAAGTGTGGGGACATGGGGACTGCAAGGGAGAGGCTTGGTGGGGACAGGAGGAGGATGATGGAGGAGGACAAAAACAAGGGCACTGGGAGATGGTTGGGAGTGGAGAGGGAGGCAAGGAATGGTCTTGGGAGGTACCAGGGCAGTGGCCTGGGTGAAAGGCAAAGGTCTGAGGGGAAGGATGGAAAGAAAAGCTTTGGGAATGATCAATGGGAGGATATTTGGGGACCCTGGGTAGGACACAGAGCAGATGCTGGGGAGGAGATGCCTGAGGGGACCAAAAAGGATGGGATGGGAGGCCCAAGGGGTGGGATTTGGGAGCACCATTAAAAGAAACAGGTGGGGGCCCTCCCAGCAATTGACAGTGGACCTCCCTTGTCAGGGATTGCTGAATGGCTTCCTGTCGTTGCATCTTTCATTTCTTATCAAAAATCACCCAAATAGTTTTCAAACAGTGCCTGCCAGTGGAGCTTGAAGGCACTCGTTCCATCAAAGCCATACCTGTAATTCAGGGGCATAAATAGAGAATGTAGATTTGTCTCTTAAGGTGCTCTCTCATTTCTACTAGAGGTCAATTAGCATCATGTAAAACATGATCATTAAAATTAAAAACTCTTACCCTTCTATTTCCCTTTGAAAAATAATTCTGCTGTTAAAACAATCACTTCTGTTTGATTGTTTAAAATCAAAATGAAGGTGTGTTCTAGTGGACACAGACAGGGCTCCCTCACAGAGAAGCCCATGAAGTATGGGCTGGATGAGCGGACAGCAGGCTGGTTGAAATCTGCTGGCCAGGGTGGTGATCAGGAGTGCAACATCCAGCTGGAGGCCAGTGATCAGCAATTCCTGGTGAACATCTTCCTTGATGATCTGGATGATGGGATATAGTGCTCAAGTTTAATGGAGTTGATGAGTTTACATTCCGACTGCAAGGAACATGTTTTCACATCTGAAGCAGGGGATGGGAAACCAGAGACTCACTGTGAACACCCAATGATTTCCAGAGCCTTTCCAGAGCATTTCATTCAAATCCGGGAATTTTGGATTAAAAAATCCCGGTGCTCCTCCATTACTCTGGAAAGGGGACCCTGGTCTGTCGGGAGTGAGGACATTGCTGAATCTGAAAGCTGGAGAAGACAACAAGAAATGTGTGACCCTCCAGAGGATGAAAGCCCTGGATGAAGTTTTCAGGAAGTTCAGACCCAATGCCTTTCCAGTTTTACGGTTGTGTCTAAACATTTACTGTAGTTTTTCCCTTGTTTGTCCCCTGAAATTGTTTGATGAAAAATCCCCTTGATGTCTGTATCCTTAGACCCCGCTCCCCGATTGGCCAAAGTTTGCTGCATTGCAGTATTTCCTTTTTTGGTCACCCTTTCCCTAAAATGGATAAACCCTACCCCTTTTTTCCCTTATCCAGTTACACTTTGCATGCTGGGGTCCCATCTGGGGTGCCAGGAAGAGCTGGGCTTTGGTACCAATTACCTCTGCAGCTGCTTGTATGCCTTCATAGGCTGCTAAGATTTCCTTCTCCACAGGGGTGGAATTGGCCTCAGAACCTCTGTAGCTTCGGCTCCAGAAACCCAGTGGTCGCCCTCACGTCTCACCAGGCACCTTTGGCCAGAGGCTCCAGGAGGGACCTTTATCTCCAGCTGCAGAGTAGAGCACATTCTTTACCTCTGGTCCTGTCCTGACAGCTCCAAGAGCCACGGCATGTGCAATCTCTTGCTTGATCTGCCTGAAAGCTTGTTGTTGTTCAGGACCCCACTGGAAATTGTTCTTTTTACGGGTCACAAAGTAAAGAGGGCTCACCATCTGGCTGTACTCTGGGATGTGCATCCTCCAGAAGCCAATGGCTCCCAGAAAAGCTTGGGTTTCTTTCTTGTTTGTGGGTGGAGCCATTGCTACAATCTTGTTGAGGACGTCTGTTGGTATCTGGTGTCGTCCATTTGCCATTTCAGCCCTAGGAACTGGATCTCTTGGGCAGGGCCCTTGACCTTACTCTTCTTGATGGCAAAACCAGCCTCGAGGAGAATCTGGATGATCTTCTGTCCTTTCTCGAAAACTTCTTCTGCTGTGTCCCCCCCACAATGATGTCATGGATGTACTGGATGGATGGATGGGGGTCACAGCATCTCGGTTCCTCCGATACTGTTGCCTGTGTACAGTTGTCGTGGCCGTTGGCACTTCTTGTCCCCAAAGCTCCAGCGATTCCTTTCGTACAACAAGGGGACCAATGCAGCACCACCTCTCCAATTTTAAGTAGCAGTTTCGCTGCCTTCACCACTAGGATCATTGTCGCTGAGCAATGTAGGGATGGGTTAGAGCTGATCTTGGAGTCTTTGCTACCAAACCTTGAAGGCCACCATTAAGGAAAGTGGCTACTAGGCCGTGGATGTTGAAATTAAGGAAAGGAAGCAATTTGTTCCATCCATCTGAACGGTCCCTTACAGGATGTCCTAGGACAGGCACAAAACCAGCAAGAATCAGGAAAAAAATTAGTAAAAAGGCCATTGTTATTATTTTTCTTTCTCCTTCTTCCTAAACAAAGCTATGTTTAGATAAACAAAATCCTTCTTGGCAGCTCTCCCAGGAGTGTCCCAAAACAATGGGGGATGTTGACAAAACAAACCTGCTCTTGGCAGCTTTCCCAGACAATGTTCCCACAACAAAACCAAAGGAACCAAAACAATCCCACTTCTGACACCAAAACCATCTGTAGCCGGTTGGAGTTGGCTTCCTGCCAAACCCCACAGACTACAGAAGATTACTACGTGTAAATTTAGGGTAGAACTTAGGTGGGAGGTTCCTGTGCCACAGAGCTCTTGCCCACAGTTTCTCTTGGAAAAGAATGGAGTTCCACAGCTCATTGCTTCCATTTCAACCTTTTTTGGCCTTTGACCACTCTGGAAAATCTGTACCAACCTGATGAGCAGAAGTCTTGGGCTTTACCACAGGTGTCTGGGTGGTGTTCTGAGAGCCAGACTTCTGCTCAGTCCCAAACTGAGGCCAACATGTCCCAGGCCAGGTGAATCCAGAAGTGGACTTGCAGCCAGAAGTCCGCTGACAGCGCTGCTTGGGACTGCAGATCTGCCTCTGTGGCACTCCAAAAAGAGCTTGGTGTTGGCCACTGCAAGTCTCTCAGTAGCTCTGAAACATTCACAAGCACACACAGAGTCATCTTTGGCAGGAAGGCTTTTGCAAAGTTACCCTCCACAGCCTTGGCTACTACTCGACTTCTAAAAGCCAAGGGCATGAAGAGCATCCAAACCCAGCACATCCTTTGATCTGAGCTTGTTCACAGGGCCTGTTTCTAAGAAATCACACCAAGTGCAAGGAGCAGCCAGTGGCACCTCCAGAAGAACTCTGGGCCACCCTGGCCTTCTCAAGGAAAGCTCAACCCTCAGACCCGCTGCCAAAACAGAAGCCAAGACAGAGCTGCCTTATTTTGGATTCACAGAATCCAACTCTCTTCTCCCAGAGGCCTCTCCTTATTCAAACAGGAAAGGGCACAAGATTCAGCTTTTCTGTCACCCACGGGATGAGGAGAGGAGAGACTGGCAAAAAGGCTGCCTGCTAAAACAACCTCAACTTGAAAAGACACCAATAATGCCAGAGTGGTGCTGCTGTGGGGTTACTGCTGGAACTCTAAAGAGAAAGGAAGACAGGTCTGAGGAAGGGAAGGGTCTGAAGGAACGTTCCCCACAAAGATGCCATGTTCTGCTTTCACACCTGACGCTGGCCAGATACAGAAAAGGGATTTCCAAGGAAAATGCAGGAGGAAAAAGGAGTCTGTTCTTACCAGTCCAAAAAAGCAGGGACTTACCTTTCCAGTTTCTTGGTGAGGCTTTTTCTGGTTTTGGCTTCCACCAGATACAGCTCTTTGTACTTGTCCACTTCTGCCTGGGTGGATTCTTTTGGAAAAGGTCTTTCTGCTTGGTTGCTTTTTGTCCTTCCCAGTGCACGTTCCAGATCTCTAATTCTGTCTTCTAATTGTTTTTTCAGTGAGTCCACATGACTGGTTCTGATTTCTTCTAAGGTGTCCTGGTGGGCTGCCTGTGCCTGAAGGAGACAGTGCACCTTCAACCACCACAAGAAAAAGAGAGCTCTGCCCAGTACAAAATTGCACACACCCACTTTCAAGGGCCCAGCCTGACTCAGAGAGGCGGCTCTGCCTCCTCACTCCCAGCAGCAACCAAGGCAGAACCCAGGAGCTGCCAGGGCAAACAATTCTTTGCAGTGGGAAAGAAGCCCAAATGAGCACTCTGCTTCAAAGCTACTAATGAAGAGACACTGGGTCTGTAGGACAGGGCATGTCCAAAAGGATTCTTCAAAGACAAGAAGAGCATCCCCCACCTCCACCCCCTCACCCACACTCCTGTAATTTCAGTGACTCCTTTTCTGAGCACTTTCCCCCCTACAAGGACAAAGCAGCACCTGTAGGTCTGGCCATGACAGCTGCAAGTTGCCAAACCCATCCAAGGATGAGCAGTGAGAAGCAGAGCAGCGCACAGAGATCCCCCCAAGCACTGCAAAGTGGGAATCTGCCTTGGGCAGCCTTTGCATTCAGGGACCTGCTGCCACATTCCACACCCATGACAGCACTCCTGCCCAACCAGATTGCCTTCTGCCACTGCCTTCAGCAAAGACAGAAGCTAACCCACAGAATACAGGAGCAAAAGAAAAAGCCCAAACACCATGGCCACAAGAGAAGTTTACGTAGCACCTGTGGACACTGGGGAGAAAGTCACTTACTTGCAAAAACTCATTGACTTCTTGGAGTTTTTGTCTTATTTCCTGGTCTGCTTGTTCTTCCACCTCTCTTTTGCACTGTTCTAGTTGGCTGCGATCCACCACGTTGGTCTCCAAATGATGGTGGAGTTTTGCCAGCTCTTCTTGCAGCTGGCATTTGTCCATGGCCAGGTTCTCGCACTCCCCACGCAGGGCAGACAGCTCTTCTTGCAAAGCCTGATTTTTGGCTTCCAGCTGCGTGCACTGTTCACGTTCCTTGTCCAACTGCTGGGAAAGTTCAGCAACCTGCAGACAGAAAGAACAAAAAAGGAACTCAGCGTGGTGTAAAGGCAGTGAATTCTGGGCAAACCCCAAAACTGGCCGCCCAGGGAGACTTTATTCATCATCTGCTGGCTCAGGACTAGACACAAAGTGCAACCAGGCTTTTCTTTTCCAGCAAGAACAGCTTTCCCATCATTTGCCGTAGGATTCCTCAGCTTCCCAGCCTTTTGGAGTTCCTCATGCAAAAATGCTCCACGCTTCTGGACTCCAAAGGAATGACTGCAAAGGCAGGAAGCCATTCTACAGGGATGCCTTCAAACCCAAGCGTGGCTCTGACAGACGCCGCTTCAGCAACGGATCCGAGTGACGAGCGGAGAAGGGATGAGAGGTTCTGTGCCACTGCTGCACAGGCACAGCAGCCTCAAAAGCACTGCTGGGAACAGCCCTTCTGGCTCCCCGCCACAGGATGGGCTGAAACAGCTCCCCGTGAGCAAGAAGGGACAGATTTTCCCCTGGGAGGCCCCTGTCCTCCTTGGGCCCTGGGCAGCAACAACACTGTGGAGAAAAGCCAAACCTCAAGTGCCTCCTGCTCAGCCCGTGCCTGAGACAGGGCTCAGGGGCTGATGGTGCCCTGCCAGTGACAGCGCTGTTCCTCCCCTCTCTGCCAGGGCAGCAATTCATCTGTCGCACCCAGAGGACGCTGTCACAGCCTCCCTCCAGCTGCAGCCAGGCCTGAGCTGGGCCCCACTGCTCTCAGCCCATGCACGTGATGTCCTGCCAGGACGGCAGACCTGCCCATCCCTCAGGCCCAGCCGGGGGATCTGCACTCTTGGCTGACCCCGCTCACTCTCAGGGGACCTGTTCTGCTCTTCTTGCTCAGGGCCTGTGGGACGGCTCCCTGGCCCGGGAGCTCACGCACCCTGCCAGGCTGGCTGCCACTCCTGGCTTGCCCCTCCTCTGCAGGACGGCCTGGCCTCCATCAGCCCTTACACCTACTGCTTTGCCCTCAACATTTGCATCTTTCCCCAGAAGGAGAACTACCTCCAGATTAGTTTGAGTCATCTCCCACTGGAACAGCAGGAGGAGCATTAAGAAAAGCCCATCACATCCAAAATGCAGCCAAGGGGAAAAAAAAAATCATCAGCATGACAAGAAATAGAGGGAAAGCATCTCCCAGCTTTCAAAAGAAGGAACACCACAACCAAAGAGCCCCACCCAGAGAGCAGCTCACCTCTCTTTGGAATCCATCAACTTCCTTGACCTTTTCAGAATATCTCTTCTTCATTTCTTCCAGCTGGGACTGACTTCCTTTCTCTTCATTAACCCGGAGTTTCCTGCTCTCTATCCTCAGAAGCTTTTCCAGCCTGCACAGCAAATTAGTGAAGAAAACCATGAAACACAGGAAGAACCAGCCTTTCCCCCACAGTCTCACAGAAACAGCACAGACAGCATCCAAGCCTAGAATGGCTTGGCTTGGCAGGGACCTTAAAGATCATCCAGTTCCAAGCCTCCTGCTCTGGGCAGGGACACCTTCCACCAGACCAGCCTGTTCACAACCCCATCCAACCTGACCTTGAACACTTGCAGCCATGGGGCATCCACAGCTTCTCTGGGCAACCTGTTGCAGTTCCTCACCACCCTCACAGCAACCAATTTCTTCCCAGGATCAAATCTAAACCTATTCTCTTTCCATTTGAAGCCATTCCCCCTTGTCCTCTCACTACCTGCTCTTTTAAATGCACTCTCTTCATCCTTCTTGTAGGCTCCCTTCACACCCCAAAAGGCCACAATTAGGTCACCCCAAAGCCTCCTCTTTGCCAGGCTGAAGGGTTGCAATTGTCCCAGCCTTTCCTCCTAGCAGAGGTGCTCCATCTTTCCAAGCACCTTGGTGGCCTCCTCTGGACTCAGTCCAACAGCTGGAGGTCCTTGCTGTGCTGAGGAGCCCAGAGCTGGATGCAGCCCTCCAGCTGGGCTCTCCCAAGGGCAGAGCAGAGAGGCAGAATGCCCTCCCTCCACCCGCTGGCCACGCTGCCTTGGACGCAGCCCAGGACACAATTGGCTCTCTGGGCTGCGAGCGCACATCGCCGGCTCATGTCCGGCCTCTCCTCCAGCCCAAGGGCTTCTCGGCAGGGCTGCTCTGCCCCTCTTCATCCCCCAGCCTGCACTGATACAGGGGCTGCCCTGAGCCACGGCCAGCAGCTTGCACTGGCTCTGGTTAAACCATCAGCAGATTGCCATGGGCCCACTTCTCCAGCTGGTCCAGGGCCCTCTGGATGGCATCAGCTGTGTCAACCACACCCCTCAGCTTGGTGGCAGCTGCAAATTTGCTGAGGGCACACTCCAGCCCTTCCTCTGGATCATTAGTGAAGAGATTAAAGAACACTGGGCCCAATCCAGACCCCTGAGGGACACCACTCTGAGCCATTGATCACCACCTCTGCATGGCACTGTTCACCCAATTTCTTATCCATCTAACAGTCCACGCATCCAATCCATCTCTCTCCACTTTGGAGAGAAGGATGTTGTGGGGGACTGTGTCAAAGGCTTTCCAGAATGACAGGGAGATGACATGGGTAGCCCTTGTCCACTGAGGCAGTCACTCCATCCTAGAAGGCCACCAGGTTGGTCAAGCAGCACTTGCCCTTGGGGAAGCTGTGCTGCTGCTTCCAATCACCTCCCTGTCATCCACGTGCCTTGACAGAGCTTCTAGAAGGATCTTTTCCATCACCTCCCCAGGCACAGAGGGCAGGCTGACACCTTGGCAGTTCCCAGGACCCTCCTTTCTACCCCTTTCAAAGATGGGCACAGTGGGTTTCCCTTTTTCCCCTCACCTGGGACTTCCCCTGACTGCCACGACTTTTCAAATATCAAGGAGAGGGTCTTGGCAACTCCATCAGACCCTGTTGGCCAATGGAGGGCAATAATGCTGGCCAGATGGAGAAGATGGATTTCCAAGGAAAATGCAGGAAGAAAAAGGAGTCTCTTATTACCACTCCAAACAAGCACGGACTCACCTTTCCAGTTTCTTGGCAAGGCATCTTCTGGTTTTCACTTCCTCCA